GAAGTGGAGTCGATGATTATCAGATCAGTCATTATCTCAGTAAATGGTGGAGTAAACTCAATAGACTAAAGGGCCTATTTCTGCTCCTATGTGTTGTGGTATTATGGATTACATTCAGAGTCCACATTCTTTTTGCCCCCTGCCTCACGCTCCCCCCATTATGTCTCCAACTGTTCACATATCGGGTGAATTGTTGATTGCCCCAACCCAGCAGCAGGCAGGTTAGCCGAAAGCAGCTACTTTCCTCACTGGAGAAGCCTTCAGTGAGATGACAAATTGATGCCATTAAGTGGCCATTAATTGACCACCACTAATGTTTCCAGTGGTGAGAAACGTGATAGCTCAGACCACCTCCAGATAGTCAATTGAGCCAATGTGGCCCACTTTCCACATGCGCGGACATTTTGCTTACGTTGGCCTGGCTCACTGCTGTGTGCAGACTCAGATGATTTCCCAGCAATTTCCCTGAGTAGAGTCAGGTGTTCATGGACACTCCATGGCCCATGATGGGGACCACAGTAGCAATGGTTGCCCTCAAAGCAATGTGCCACTGGGTGTCCACAATCCTTGCTGACCCAGCCCTTCATCAGTTGTTTGCTGGGGCCAGGTTAGCTGGTCAAATTCCCTCACTTTCTTCCCTCCCTTCTGCCAGCTTCCTTCATCTTTCTTTGAAAGAATCTGGTCATTGAGGTGCCTGCTGTTTAGACTTTTAAACTCAGTGATGTTATTGCTGACTGCTACCCCTGTGTTTGTGCCTGCAACTCCTGGGGGTTGGTCTCTGTCCTTACTTAGACAGCAGAGCCCTTTAATTCCACATTACTAGTGATATGCACTCCACCCTGCCTCCCCTGCCAATCTCACTGCCTGTCCGAAACCGAGTCACTCTTCATTTTTTGGACCAGGCAGTTGGAGTTGCAGGTTTGCAGAAAAGTCAGTTAGACTGAGTGCAGACCCTTCCTGGCCTGAACAATGGAATAATCTGTTAACAGCTTGCTGCTGAGGCCAAGACACAGTCACATGCTTATGAAAATGCAGTTGAACTTAGTTCCACATACTCACATTTTATCTGTAATTCTGTGAGTGCTTAATCCTCAATTACATATCACTTTTAAAATTATTTACAGAATTGACTTCCACTACCTTTTCAGATAAAGCATTCTAGATCCCAACAGCTTCCTGAGTCAAGAAAATTGCCTCAATCACTTCTGTAGATCTAATATCTTGTTTAGCATGTACAGGCACCATTTTTCCTATTGCCTTGTCTATTAAACATGACAGGTGCTGGAAAAGTGCTATTTAAGAATATAGTACTCCAAGTTAGTTATTTTAAACTACAGAATAGCAGAGAATGAGGAACTTGTAGTGTGGATAGGCTATCTGTTTTTCAACTCAGTCTTATCCACTGATTTTGCAGCGGTTCTATAATAAACCACACTGCAAGTTCATTACATTGCTGGTTAAAATGGAAATCTAACATATCTGACCTATCACTTAATTTTTCCAGGGAATTTCTCCACCATTATTACCATCTCCACCATGGTAGGTAACTGTGAATTAGGAATCTGAGGAATCTGTTCTGAGGAAGGGTCACCAGACCGAAACTTTAACTTTTTTTTTCTTTCACAGATGCTGCTAGACCTGCTGAGCTTTTCCAGCCACTTTTGTTTTTGTTCCTGATTTACACCATCCACAGTTCTTGCAGTTTTTAATTGTGAATTAGTATTTGACAATTTAAAATTTTTAATAAGACTTCTATTCACAGACTAAAAAAAACTGAAAGATCAGGTAAATCAACAACAAAAACAGAAGTTGCTGAAAAAGCTCAGCAGGTCTGGCAGCATCTGTGAAGAGAAATCAGAGTTAACGTTTCAGGTTGGAGGGTGACCGGACCCGAAACATTAACTCTGATTTCTCTTTACAGATGCTGCCAGACCTGCTGAGCTTTTCTGGCAAATTCTGCTTTTGTTCTATTCACAGGCTGTTTGATTTTTGTTGACGTAACTGTAAGAATTGTATTTATGCACCTTCTCATCTATTCATATTGATCAATGAATTCTACTTCCATTCTCCAGCATTTCCTTTGGTGTGCACTATTTATGTGTTATTTTGAATAACAAACAAAAATGCAATGTTTGCAAATAACCTTTATTGACATTAGAGGGGGAAACAGTGTATCAAGATTAGTAGAAATAACAAGGTGTAGAGCTGGATGAACACAGCAGGCCAAGCAGCATCAGAGGAGCAGGAA